GTCGGGCTCTGAGGCCGGTATAGTAAAACCCTAAACCCTCCGCCACAATAGATGATAAGACCTTGGCCTGAACTCCTCGAAGACAACTTGCAGGAGGGAATTACATAGGGGGATATCGGGATTGCCCCTTTTTTTTTCTCAAGTTGAAACCATGGGACCCTAGAACAGGCCCTTGGCCCTAGGATTCTGATATACCTGCTATATGGGTGGTTGTCAAAATTATGGTTCCTTTTTGGGTCCGTATTATCATACGGCACCTAATATTTAGGGTACCCCAAAAAGGACCACAATTTTGACAGCCACCCATATGCCCTATCTGTACCCTTAAGCGTCCCTAGAATCCCACTTACAGGCCTAAGTGCCCAAATTAGATGCCCATAATTGGAAACCTTAGATTTTGACAGGGTTTAGGGCTTTAGGGTTTAGGGTTAACAGTAAGGAATTTCCAGGTTGGAATCCACGCTTGGGCCCCCGATTGATGGAACTGCAGGGTTCTGGCAACTCAACTGGACCTCCACCCGCACTATCAGGACCCCATAACTATCACATGACTAGAATTGGGGGCTAATGCGTTTTTGGAAAGGAGTAATCACGAGCACTATCCTCATATCCAGATCTTCGATTCCCTATTAACCATCAGTAAGTCATGCGAAGCGGGCAGAGTCTTGCTAGATGTTTAGGGTTAGGGTCTGGGGGTTTGTGTCTAGGTTGCCCCTCAGTTCTCGCGATCATATTCTTCTGGCCAAAAGTTCTAAGTTACAAAGAGGCTTCATTGGTGCCAGGCGCAGCTTTGCATGAAGTCATACAAAATGAGGATTAGTCGCTAACCCCCCGAAAAAAAATATTGATGACATATTCCACGAAAGAACGAGCTTTCCCTAGGTAGGGCGAAGCCCACGTCACAACCAGGTAATATCATATAGCGTGTCTGTTGATTACTAGTATACGTGATACCACTGTCTCAAAACATGCCTGGTACCCCTGATTAATAAATCGCCTCCTTTTAAGCACCTCAAAATTAGGATCCCTATTATAATCCCTATTGAGGGGTGAGGGTTTATTCGTCATGGGTCTGGGTTACCGAAGTAGTCCTTCCCACCTGGATGAAAAGTGACCGGACAAAGAAAACAACCCTCATCCTCAAAATCTGGCTGTAGCCAGTCGCCGTACCGTGGAAACTGCCCCCAGCTAGTAACAGTTGGATAACATTCATATTGTGAAGAGGGTTAAGGGTTTAGAATATCTAGGGGTCTTCCTATTACCCCTATTATTGACTGTTACTTTATCATGAACAGGGTTTAGGGTTTAGAATATCTAGGGGTCTTCCTATTACCCCTATTATTGACTGTTACTTGCTTGGGGCGGTACCCACTCGACGTACCCAAGGTTTTCACGTGGGAGCTTGGGATAGCAAGCCAGATTGCTGGATGTCAGTGACGAACCTGAGTCCTGGGTTTAGGGTTTAGGGTTTAGACCCAAACCCTAAAACCTAAACAGTAGACGCATACCCGAACCCCGAAATCCCTAAACACCTCTAACCTCTAGAATCTTTAAGCCCCTAACTTAAGCAGCTTGGTAGTCTCTTTGAATAAGGCTTCTGCTTGATAGAGCGGGGTGTATAGGGATTCTTCTTAGGTTTATGGGTTTAGGGTTTAGGGATCATAGATATATAGTCCCCTTAAGCAGATAGAATATGGCTTTGGGATGCTATGGGCATATTATAATGAGATCCCCATGTACCCCATATTCTATCTACTGAACGGGGACTATATACTTACAAGAAAAGGTAACGAGACCACTAGCAGGTTTAACCCTTAACCCCCCCTTCGCTCTGAAACCTCAGACCTGTTGGGCTTCCCTGCTACCCTGGCTACACTACCCCTGTTGAGGTAGTATAACCGAGGCGTGGGGGGGGTGGTTTAGGGTTTAGGGTTTAGGGGGGGCGGTCTAGGGTTTAGGGGGGATGGTTTAGGGCTTAGGGCTTAGGGTTTAGGGGTTGGGTGTGCCTTTATGGAGCTGACATTCAGCATCTGGTGGCCTTGCACGATGAGTGTCCGTTGAGCCCTGCTTGCCGAAGGCATGCGGCGCTTGTTCACATGGGTACCCTCCCGAAGCATGGAACTCCATACGGTGGGACGTTGAGACCATGGACGCTTGTCGCATACCCAAATGAGGGTGGTACTGTATAAGGGACTAGGGACCCAAAAACGGGCCTCAAGTTGGAACCCAAACCCTAAACCCCTACACCCTAAACCCCTAAACCCTGCAGGTAATCGGCACTTTCGGGGAGGGTAGGTAGGCATACTACCCCCAAAAAAGCCCGTTTTGCACCAAAAAATGCTGCGACCGCGTGGGTGTTGTGACATTTGGTTGAGTGTTGAGGGTTTCCGTAAGTGGGGGGAACCCATATGTACCCCTGAATGCTATGATCCCAACTATGGGGAACCCACCTTAAAAGGTTCCCCTAATTCGGGGAAACGCACCACTTGGTGAAGGCGTGTTTTGGGTCAGAGACATATTGCTAGGGTTTAAGGTCTTGGGGGCTCTTCAGGGTTTAGGGTTACGGGCCTCTAGTAAGGAGTAAACCTACCTATCTATATATAGACAAAAAAAGATAGATAGATAAGTAGATAGGCAATAGCCCAATCATGGCTGTATGTATTTGAGGCGTTTGAGTTCTTGTAATTCAGCCAGATCCAAGGGCTTTGGCAAGCCCAACCGCACAAACTCGGACCTTTTTACAGTCATGATGGTCACAGGGTTCTTCTTTTGGGCGGGTCAGGGTTCCAAAATCCTCAGATTACTGTAGGTTACCGCATCAGTGGAATCCCTAAACATTAAACCCTGGACACTGAAACCCTGAATCCTCGACCCCAGACAAGACTGTGAATTCCCGATCCTGGGTTGTGGAGGCCTTGTTGAACAACCGTCGGCTTTCTAAGGGAAGCCCCAAGTTCGTGGGTTCCCCTACTACCCCCCTTATACCTACCTCCCCTAGTTTCCCCCTTGGTTCACTTTGATTAGGCCGAAGTATCCCTAGACAATCTTCAGGGGCGGGATCTAGGTGGGTGGTAAAGAGGGGGTAGTGGGGAAACCAATCAAAGTGGTAATCCCTTGACATCCGATGGTCCTATAGTTTAGGCGTTTAGGGCTTAGGGTCTCGGAGAAGTACTTTCAAGATGTCACTGGTGTTTCGTCATATGCCTATCGGGTGAGTCCTTCTGCAGAAGTTTCTTTCAGAACCGTTTTTTCGGAACTTGAGATCCCCAGAAGAGGCGCTTCAAAATGCTGAGGGCCCTCCCTTCGTGAGAACCCTCTGTACAAGGTAGGGTTTCACTGTGGGCGTCCGGTGGGTGCAATATGAAACGGTGGGTGCATTTGTTGGTGTCCAGTTGGGTGACTACAAATAGAACCCACAACTCATACGTGTTCAAGCTAGTGCAATAAGATAAGGCACGTGAAAGTCAGCTGTCACAGTGATCCTGCGCACGAAAACCAACCTTCAACCCTAAACCCGTAAACCCTAAGCATCAGGCTTCCCCGGCGAGCTTCCAAAGTATTTGCCGGAAGCTGAGATTCCAAGATTAGGATCCATTACGGGGATATATCAGGGTTATAAGAGGGTTATATAAGGGTTCTACAGGGTTTAGGAGGTTGTTAAACGTATGTTTCACGTTTTCGAGCCGCTGGTAAAGCAGGGCCTCGCATACTTATCGTACCCGAGAAGCCGAAAAGGGGCCATCATGCTGACAACCTTCCAACTTAAACCCTAAACCTAAACCCTAACTCATCAGCGTTTCGCCGCTGTAAGTGGGCGAATAGCTTGAGGGGACAGGGCGTGCAGTTTAAGAGGTGGCTCTGATGGGTTCAGGGTTTTGGGTTTAGAGTTTAGGGTTCAGGGTTGAGGGTTTAGGGTTTTGGGTTTAGGGTAAACAACCCTTCTGGCGGCACCCTCCCCCCAGTCAGTCTTCAGATCTGATATCTTCAAGAATGGGCGGGACATGGAATGCGGGGACAGGGGCAAAGGCGTGGGCTGGGTGAGGGTGTAGGGGTTTTAGGGTTTAGGGGTTTGGAGCTGAGGGTTTAGAGTTCCCAAACCCCTAAACCCTGAAGAAACCCTAAACCATTAAAAGGAGGAAGACTGGAGGATCAGCTGCCAATGGCGATCATTCGAGTCGTATCTGAAGACACCAAAGCTACGACGCGGTATAGGGTTTGGTGCACAGCTTGTACGACCTCAATGGAATTGCAGATACGATAGAATTGATTTGGTTGGACTTTACTTATACTACGTGTTTAGCCCTTTTGTGGATTTTGCTCTCTGTTTTCGCAGTAGGGCAGCAGCACAAGAAATGTTAAGTGTGGGTCCGGGGTGCGAACCCTCATTTCTTAGTAACAGGGCAGGTACACTTTACATTTTTCAGGTTCCTGAACCCTATACCTGGGGGGGGGGAGTTTGTCAAAAGCTCTCTGGCGGCACATACGCTCAGCCGACAGGCTTTGAAGCGATTAAACATTACCTGGTGCTTAGCCGGAACGAGAGTAATCGAGAATCAGGGTGACCCCTGGTACCTTACACATATATAGGGACTCTTAAGCCCTAAGCCCTAAATCTGATAGGGACCACCATAGGGAGGGGAGTGTAAAGGGATTCCTGCAGGGATCAGTGCTCTCAGGAAGTCAAACCTTCGCCCAGCGTCCCAGTTTAATCTTACTAGCTTAAGATTAAGGGTTTGGGTTGAAAATATCTCAGAAATCTGGAAATCTGCGTAGGAAGCTTCTCAAGATAGGAGTACTTTAGCACCACCGGGCATTAGTGGGAGCCTGGCCCTTTCAGGGACTGTCTGGGTGACAGTTCGAGAAGCACCCGGTAAAGCCGAATTTCGTAGATTCCGGGTTGCTGAACCCCTAAACTCCTCACCACAAACCCCTAGCCGCCCTAGCCCCTAAACCGCTAAAACCTAAACCCGGTCCGCCCCAGGCGCCTCGTCCCCAAGACCATGCAGTACACAACCACCACTGAGAGCCACGACTGGTGGCGTGTGAAGCCTGCGGACTTCAGCGCTCCGGCTTTCGAATTATTAGGGGTTTAGGGATTAGGGATTATAGCCCCCCCTAAGTAGATAGAATATGGGGTATATGGGGATCTTATTTCAACATACCCAAAGTCATAGTCTATCTAGGTAAAGGGGGACTATAGGGTTTAGGGATTAGGGATCAGGGTTTGGGGATTAAGGTTTCGGCATCACGCCAGTGCAGCGTGCGCCCTAGTCACTTTATGGGTCGGCTGTCCTTCAAGGGGAGCGCTGCTTAGACCCAAAAACAAAAACTTTCGTCAGTGCTTTTTGCGTTTCTCGCTTCCGGAGGGTGATTCAGTATGCGCTTTCTGGGGGATTGTTGCATTTGGTTTTTGGGCGTTTTGGAACTGGAACCAACCCTAACCCCTAAACTCTTAAGCCATCTTAAACCCTAAACTCTCAAACCCTAAACTCTTAAACCCTAAGCTCTCAAACCCTAAACTCAGAGCCTAAACTCTCAAACCCTAAACTCTTAAACCCTAAGCTCTCAAACCCTAAGCTCTTAAACCCCAAGTCCTAAACCAGAAGAGATGAAACACTTAGTCTCAAGTCAGGCTCTCTCCCATGGTCCCAGTGCCCGGATGAGAGCCTGGGCTTGCCACTTGGGAGCCCAATCTCTCGTCTCTTGGCTGCAGCTAAGATTACTGGGGCCTAGTAGGGAATGGAATACAGGAAAATATCATATAGAGGCTCTAGAGGGATTATATCCCCTTATTCCCTACTAGGACCTATTCGGTAAGGAGTGAGAGTAAACCCTAAACCCTAAAACCCCTGAACCCTAGACCCTAAACCCTAAAACCCCCAAACCCTAAACCCTTTAAGGCCAAATAGTCTCTAATAGGGGTGAGGTGTCCGGAGTGGGCTAGGGTAGTGATCATTCCTTCGTGGGGCTCTGGCACTTGGTAGAGTTTTCGAGTGCAGACTTTGGAGCTATGCTGTTTGTTGTGGCTGGTGCGCTGTAGGGGAGTGCAATGGTGCGCAGCCTAACTAGCAGTAGTAATTTCAAATGCAGGGCATTCGTGATTTGAACCTAGTGACGGTCCTGCGCATGCAAGTTGCAAAAGTTGGTTTTGATTTTGGAGTAGCTTTGAGCTTCAAGGGCGTGGGCTCATCATATTCTACCGCTGCCTGAGCAGCTTCCATGGGGAAAAGGGTTGAAGCCCTAGCAACCCTTCCCTCAACGCACTTGCGTGGGTACACAGGAAGCCGCCGATCTAGCATGAACGAGTGCTTCAAAACTCCATGCTACTACTATGATCAAGGCTATTGCATATTCATAGTCTCATTTATGCTGTTATTCTTGACATTACTATTGCTATGGATGTCTTAGTCAAAAGAAGGCCAAACTTTACAATCATGAGGCAGCCTGGGCAAGTCGCCTTAATCATGCCCTGGGTTGCTGAATTTGTAGATTGTACTTCGTGACAGTAATAAGAGTAATGGTATTAATAAGAATGCTGACTTCGTAGTAGTAATAAGAATACCATTGAAATCATAATACTAATTGTTGAATGCTTTGGGCCCTAAAAGCTACAAATGGTATATGCATTGTCCTATTTGGAGCCTCGGGGATTGGGATGCAGCAGTAGTGCCCTAAACACTAAACCGAAGATACCTCAGGTGAACACCTGCGTGACGTTCTAGGCCGGGGTGTGGAATGGAGGGAATTGAGGGATGTTTAGGGGGTCTGGGGTTTGGGATTTAGGGGGTTTAGGGCTGCTTTGCTTCGTTTTTGAGATGTGCCTGCAGCTTTGGCCAGCTCCTTTAGTTACAGTCGAAGCTTCGGGGGGCTAGGTTTTTGCCACGTAAATTTGAAATCTTCCTTCTCAAATCGTAAGCCGTGGTCCTAGCCTATGTTATCCTCAAGTCCAGTCAAACGATTCAGGCCTTCGCAGTAGACAGGAGTCTCTCGTATAAGGCCATAATGACTAGACAACTAAGGCCCCTAGCATCCCTCTGACTCCCGTTTTTAGAGACCTAAACCCTAAATCCTGATTTGCCCGATAAACGACCCCTACCGTGGTCTTCCCTGTACCATCCCTAAACTGGGTCGACCTGAAAATGCCAGTAGTTGTGCTTAGCTGTTAGCGACGAGTGCTACCCTTGGGTGCGCAAATACCGGCACTCAGAACTCAAGTTCTGGGTTGCAAAACAGGATGTAGGTTTTCAATGCCAGAAGTTGCAATAGACTGTGCTCCAAAACCCATCCCCACCAACTGGCGCCTCTGCATTAGATCGAATTAAGTCGTCGGTCTGGAGGAATTTCAAGAGATATATGAAGAGATGCGATTTGTCAAGGGTGTGTTGGGGGAGGGGGGGGGGGTCGGGTGGGGTGATGAATCTGAGACGTGTCGAAGAACGCTTGGTAAGCACTCGCTGAGCACTCGAACCTCGGTAGTTACTTGGTAACTGTTCGGCCCTACATATAGTCCCCCTTAAGCAGATAAAATATGGCTTTGGGTCTATTATAATGAGATCCCCATATACCCAATATTCTATCTACTTAAAGGGGACTATACACCTTGAGCCATGCTGAGCTCATAGACCTCGAAGTACAGGGCGTAGGCCGGCATAGGGTTTAAGGTGATCCTCAACCCTATAGTCCCCCCTAAGTAGAGAGAATATGGGGTTATGGGGATCTTATTATAATATACCCAAAGCCATATACTATCTACTTCAGGGGGATTATAAACCGCGTCCAGGGTTTAGGGTGTTTGAGCCATAAGGGTTTCAAAAAATCCCCGAAGCCTTCCACTCCCAACAGTGATGATTTCTTGGTCAGAGCGCCCCCCCCCCCCTCACTTGACACCCTTTCCCCCGGCAGCCTCGCCACGCCCATGAATTTGGGCTTCAAACGATTACGGCGAAAGATGACAATTCTTCACGGAGATCTTCCAAAATTGTGGCTGGAGGCTTAGGATCGCCATGTTGAAGTGTCTAAAGGATTTCTGGATGTGTGAAAGGAAGCTATCAAACGGGCGACGGGCAGGCACACAAATGGCAGTATTTACCCGGTACTTCGGTCTCAAAGCAAACTCCTGTGGAGTTGATAATTGGGAGGGGTTGCCAGCAAGACCCCAAACCCATCCCATTCCTGGTCCTCGAACCCATTTCTGGTCCCATCATCCAGACTACCATTCCTTGAATTTTACATGGAACAATGGACAGACGGCTCTTTTTAACTTGAGATGATCAGTAACTTGAAGTAAGCCCTAAATTCCTTTGTTTGGGGGTATTGGCGGAATGCTTCTGAGCACTTGAAAGGCTGTCTTTTCGAACCAGCAGCGATCCCCGGCATCAGCTGCAGCTGCACTCCCCAGTTTCCCAGATTTGAACTGCTCGATGCTCGAGCCCATATTTCCTGAGCTGCGCGGCCCTATGCAGCGTAGAGTAGAAGTGTCAAGCAATCAGATGCTTTTTAAATACTCTATTTCCTGCATGCTGGTGTCACGGCTTTTTTTGGAGTTGCCAACCTAGGGTTGAACTCAGAAAACATGACAACTTGCTGGTGGCTAGCAGGAATGGATCCATATAGCAGTTTAGTAGTCCCCGCACAACATGTTCTGCTCATCGTAGGACTTAAAGCCCATTCCTGTGTTTCCTGCTTGGAGGCTCGCTTGTCTACACAGTAGCTGGGACTATGGGGCGCAACACAGCCGATTTGGGTGATTTTAAAAATCGTCCGAGTACCAACCGCCCATAAGTAAACCCTGGTCCCCCAACCTTTCCCTGGGGTGCTCGCAAGCCTAGCCCCTGAACCCTAAACCCTAAACCCTAGGCCCTGAACCCTAAACCCCTTTTGTAGAGGCCCTGAAGAGGACAAAGCCAAGACCTCAGTGCGGCTGTAAGTGTCAAGGAGGTTGAGCCTCAGGGTGGAAAAGTTTAGGGTTTAGGAACGGTTTAGGGTTTAGGGTTTAGGGTTTGGGTTTAGGGCTTAGGGTATAGGGTTTAGGGCTTGGGGTGAGCTACAGGTTTAGGGTTTAGGTTTAGGGTACAGTCAATATTTCCCAGACAATTGATGGACCTGGGTTCCTTATTAGGGATTATACTAGGGATTATATCAAAAAACGAGAGGGAGCGCTATGTCGACCGGAAAGGGTTCCTTCATAAGCCTAATACTGACAGTAGCTCATATGTGTACAGACCCTAAACCCAAAAGCGTCGATGTACATAAACTGCAGATAACCTAAACCGTAAACCCTAACCCATAATCTATGTGGAGACGTCTACCTTAAGGCTGAAGCCCAAAACCTCATTCCGAGGATCAGCACAAGGGCTAGATTCCCATGGCGGTAGGGTTTAGGGTCTAGGGCCCCCTATCTTGCATCAACTTCCAATCCCAGCCCTCTGGCAAGATCCTGAAATTTCTTTCCACCTGGTCCAAGTCCATGCCCAGGATAGTTTGTTATGAGCCTAGTTAGTTTAGGGTTTAAGGTAGGGAAAGCCCGTATGAGCGTGTGCGACTTATGGGGGCCCAGGTGTATGAGGAGATCAAAAGTTCGGTTGGGCGAAACATAACCCCCGAAACATACCTCGAAACATACCTCCTGACGAAACAGGCACCCACACCATGAGCAATTTGTTATGAAAACTTCCGAATCATACCCCGAAACATACCCGAAACATAACCCCCAACCCAACTTCCCGTGGCGCGCACCCTTATTTCCACATAAGCCCATATGAAATTCGCGTCCCATTTTGGTACCCGTGAGTATTAGGTGCCGTAATCTAATCTATACCCAAAAGGGGCCCATGACCCACATGTCCCTTGTATGGTCTGCAATATGCCTGCCTAGATCAGAAGCCTAAACCCTAAACGAGAAGACTTCTGGGTAATGTGTGTTTACTAGATCCTTCCAGAGGCCTGGGATGACTCCTTCCAACCTCAAGGCATGAACTTATATGAGCCATAGTCTAAACTCCTTAAATAGGGTTATATAGGGGGTTATATTGGGGGGGGGGGTACTATAGGGGCGATTAAGGGGGATACTAGGAGTTTAGACTATGGGGGATTTATGGTTCCCCCAATCCCTCCAAATATTTTCCATCCCAGAGCTTCCCCAGCATCTCCCAAAGTGTTAGACAGATCATCCTAGATGATGTTTAATTAAATCTTACAAAAACAAAAGTACATGATAATTTTCTGTTGGAATCTGAACACCACAACTACACACCGCCACGGCGACGTATACTATAAGAACCCTCATGACTGTCATAAGACCAAAATAAGGGTCGGGGTAACGAGAATGTCCTCATTATTCTTGTGGACCCTTAAACCTCAATCAACCCTAAAACCTGAAGGCTCCTAATAGGCCCTAACCTCTGAACTCTACACCTCAAATCCTCAAGCCTAAGCACTAAGCTCGAAAAACCTCAGCCGCACAAACACAACCCTCAATCATGAATTCCTCAACCTTCACCCTACATAAACCTTAAATCTCAAACCCGACGCAGCCAGAGAGCCGTTTACTCCCCTCCCCCTAATATCCCTCCCCCCCCACTCCCCCCAATATTCAGTATTCCAAATAGACTACAGCCCTAACCCCTAAATCCTAAACCCTAAACCTACAGGCTAGATTATACGTTTCATGGTTCAGGGGTTTAGGGTTTATAGCTTCAGGTGGACCGGCTACCATGGCCCTCCTCGCCTTTGAGAAGCGTGTCCGACGTCTCTCGCCTCTCCACTGGGTGCGACGTTGCTACGGTGTTATAGTCCCCCTTCAGTAGACAGAATATGGCTTTGGGTACAGTAGAATAAGATCCCCATCTATCCCATATTCTATCTACTTAAGGGGTGCCATAGCACTTTAGCACTTTTGGGGTTCCCCCTTTTTGATGTTCAGGGAGCAAAAAATTCGAGTTTCAGTAGGTGCTCAAGAGCAACAAAGTCCAGGTGTCGGTGGGCGAAACGCAGGCGGCCACGCCCCAACCCCCCCCCCACGTTTTCGGGCGAGTGTTTTCATCTCCATCCATCCTAAAACCCTGGAACCTTAAACCCCCAAAGCTTACAACCCTAAAGTCCTAAACCCTGCATCCACCCTAAAGCCTAAAACCCTAGAACCTTAAACCCCCTAAACCCTAAAACCCTAAGACTCTAAAACCCTGAAACCCTAAACCCTAAAGTGAGGCTATTGGGCATGCAGAGTTCGTCCGCGCTGCGGCCATTGCCTTGGGCGGCGCACACCTGGCAGTTGCTCGAGGTCTGGGTTTTTGGGGTTTGGGTTTTAGGGGTTTAGGGGTTTTAGAGCTTTGGGGTTTAGGGTTGTAGGGGGTTTTAGGGTTTTGGGAGTTCGGGGTTTAAGGGTCTACGGTTTTGGGGTTCTTGGGTTTAGGGTTTTAGGCTTTAGGTTTTTTGGGCTCTAGGGTTTCACGTTTATAACAGATGTATAGGGTTCGTGTCCGTAGTTCTAACCGACTTTTGAGCATTTTTTGGCTCTTGCCTTCAACAGGCTTTTTTGTGGGCTAGGGTTTCGCGTGTATGGCAGTTGTATAGGGTTCGCGTCCGTAGTTCTGACCGACTTTTGAGCTTGCCTTCAACTTCCCCCCAAAGCTGTTGCTTTTTTGCCTTTCTTCCAACCTTCCTCACAACTTTGTTGCAGACTGGGGGCTTGGGGCCCCTCAGCTACTCTGCATGGCTTCCATTTGAACCAAATTTGGCTCCCGAAAGCCTAAGTTGATTCCAAAAGGCTTAAATTGATTCCAGCGTGATCAACTTGGCCCCAAGAAGATCAAGCTAGGTCCGAAAAGCGTTAAATTTTGCTGCAAAGGTTCAAATTGCCTTCAAGCCCAAACTGGCTGCAACAAGGTCGAAATAGATCTGAAGAGCTTCAAATAGGCCAAAACGGTTCCAAAACAAATTGCCTCCAAAGGGCCAAACTCATTCAGCAAAATCAACTTGGTTCGAGAAGATACAGAAGGCACCAAAAAGGGTCAATTGTCAACTTGGCTGTCAAATCTTGATGACGATTAATTCCAACAGCCCAAACTGGAACTGAAAGGATCAAACTGGTTCCGTTGACTCCTCAATAACCGAATGTGCTCCAAAGGCCCAACCATAAGGATCAACTGCAAGATTGGGCGCTTTTCTACTGAGCATTTATTTCTGAGCGACTGGGTCGAAGAGGTAAACGCATCAAAAAACTATTTCGTTTTCCAGAACTATGGGGCCAGAAGATTGCCTCCTACAAAGTGCTCATTTCTTTATCATGGGCTTGAGGTTTTAGGGCTTAGGGTTGAGGATTGAGGGTCTAGGCATGAAGGTGCTTTAGGGGTCAAGGGTTTAGGATTAAGATTTAGGATTCAGGGTTCATGTTTAGGATTTAGGGTTTAGGGGCAGCTGGGAGTTAGGGCTTAGGATTATTTTAATGGTGCGGTGCTTAGGGTTAGCTTGAAATCCGAAGCCCTAAGTCCTGAACTCTAAGCCCTTGAAGGTTTAGGGTTAAAGGTTTAGGGGTTCACCAGCACACTAAAGATGAAATCAAACCATGGGCCAAAACGATCGGATTCGGGTTCAGAGTGCAAACTTTAGGGTTTGGGGGCTAGGGGAGTACTGCACCCTAAACGCTGAACCCTAGCGCAAAGGAAGGCTGCAGCTTGAACCTTAGGCTTCTGGGTTTCCATAAGCCCTGAATACCCTAAACCCTACCAGGACCCAAGTACCTGTGAAATCCAATCCATGTAGGTCCTGTGTGTGGGTGTTTGGGCCCTAAACCCTCATGTCGGAACCCGAAGCCCTAGACCCTTTTACTCGAAACGCTGAACCCTATCCCGCCTATCCCCTAAACACTGTACTCTAAACCGCGTCGTCTAGGTAAATCCTGCGCTCAGAGGCTGAAGATCACTTACATTGGTTAGCTGGGAATGAAGGAATAGAAAAAGCCTAAAAGCTACTACGATGGGCTATACAGGGACTACTATCCCTAAGTCCTAAACCCTATAATGGGTTATATAGGGACCACTATCCCTAAGTCCCATAAAGCCTATAGTGGGTTATATAGAGACCACTATCCCTAAGTCCTATAAAGCCTATAATGGGTTATATAGGGACCACTATAAGGATCTATTCCTTCATTCCTCGCTGACCAAAGGATTAAGGGTGCAAGGATTGGGATTCGGGTTCAGAATTTCCCGAAGTTTGGGGTACCTTTCAAGGGGACTATAGGGGTTACATAAGTTTTAGGATTCGGAGCTTGGGGGTTTCGGGTATAGCGCTTGGGATTTAGCATTTAGGGTTTAGGGTCACTGCAACAATAGCAGGGAATCGAGTGATCAAGGGAACACTGAACAAAAATATTGAAACTAGGGGTGTTATGAAATGTGCCGAGGGTCCTGAGCCTTAAGCCCAAACCCGGAAGCTCAGTACAATATCAGCATTTTCTCTGGGGTCGTTATAACAGTTATAGTTCTTTGGTTTTGAGATCAGGTCCGTGTAAGGTTCACCGGGGAACTTGAACGGCGAGAAATCAAATTGTGGTTCCCAAGCAACCACTGTGCTTTTGTAGATTAGTGTCCTTCCTTAGGATCCACAACCTGTAACGTCGAAGAAGCCTTGCGGAGCCGTCGCCTCGTTTCAAAACTGCGCTGAGCGTCCTCCGAAGTTTGGCCGTGATTGACAACCCTCTCAGCGTTCGCGCCGCGTCGTGACGGTAGGTAAGGGAATACAGGGGTATAAAAAAGGGGGCATAATGTAAAGGTATAATCTATAGGCGCTATAATACATGGGGTCATATAGGGATAGTGGAAAATAGAATGGAAACCACTGTTCTGTGGAGCAGCTGAAAGAGATGCTGATATATATATATGTATATATGTATATAATATAAAGTATTATATAGCTGTGTCTTCTTGACTCTCTTTGTCGAGCTTGAGTGGTCATTCTCCACCAGTGCCATCTTGACTCTCTTTGTCGAGCTTCAGCCCGAGGCAGTAGAAATGGCTTGTGCAGCACTGGGCACTTGTCTGAGGTGTCCGTGAAAGACCCAGAGAGAGACCCAAAGAGAGAGGAGACAAAGGGGGGGAGAGAGAGAGAGGGAGGGTAATCCTCAACCCCTGATCCCCCCAAAACAGCTAAACCCTTTCAAAGGGAGAGTAATCCTCAACCCCTAAACCCCCTAAAACAGCTAAACCCTTTCTAAGGGGCCCTAGAATCTCCATTCACCCAATGTTGCAGGAAATCCTCCACCCCTAAACCCTTTAAAACACTTAAAACCTTTAAAAGGGAGCCTATAATCACATCAGCCCTTGTCTAAACTCCTAGTATCCCCCTTAATAGCCCCTATAGTAGGCCCCTATATATTCCCCTACGCAATCCCCTATTAAGGAGTTTAGACTGTAGCTCACATAATCTCCATTCACCCCTAAACCCTAAACCCCTAAACCCCTAAACCCTAAACCCCTAAACCCCAAACCCTAAACCCCTAAACCCTAAACCCCACCCACTGTCGCAGGCCTGCGCGAGCTGACTTTGCACTGCCAGGACTTGTTCCGAGAGTTCCGCCTTGGCACAGAGGGAAATGTGGTGGGGGCCAGGGGTTGGTTTAGGGTTTAGGGTTTTGGGTTTAGGGTTTAGGGTTTAGGGTTGGGGTGGTTTAGGGTTTTAGGGTTGAGGGTTTGGGGTTTTGGAATACGGGTTTGTGGTTTGGGGTCTAGGCGCTTCTGTGGGGACGCCATAGGTCCCTTTGAAAGGCTTTTGCTGATATGTGTAAATATGCAGATCTGAAAATGCGGGATGTATGAATGGCCTTTGGGGTTTCGGGATGTTACAGTCCCGGATTGAATAGGGTCTAAGGGACAAGGTTCCTCTTGAGGTACTGCAGGGATGTATGGCGCGTACACAGGGCTAGAAGGCTCCCCGAACGGACTCAGGACCCTAAACCCGAATCCCTAATCCCTGAACCCTAACCCCTAATCCCTATGGCGGGATTCTTCTGAGCAACTCCCGCAACTGGCTATTTGTCATAGGAATTTGTCATAAAGCAGGTACCCTTAAATCGCTTCGAACGGGCTGTGAGATCTATATAATTCGCCGAGGCATCCAGCCTCAGGGCGTTCAGATCCAGTTGCCCCCTGTAGGGGTTTAGGGGTTTAGCGGGGTAGGGGATTAGGGTTAAGGGGTTTAGGTTTACGCCAGTTTGTCAAAATGGGGTGCTCAGGACCTCAAGGCCATACTGGGATCACAAGAAGCTTATGCGGGGTCCTACCCGGGCTTCTATGGGGATCATCAAGCCCAATCTCCCTAGACTTGACCCTGGTAATGAAGATCTGTTCTACGATTCTTCCTTATCATTAACCTTGGTGTTCAAAAGTGCTTCTACCAGCCCTGTAGCATCTGCAGTGACAAGTTCTGTCTGAAGTACTTCCCCTAAACCCCTAAACCCTGAACTTAAAACCATAAACCCTAAACCCCTAAACCCTAACCCCCTCAACCCTAAGCCCCTAAACCCTAAGCCCCTAAACCCTAAGCCCCTAAACCCTGAACCTAAAAACCCTAAACCCTAACCCCCTAAACCCTAACCCCCTAAACCATGAACCTAAAAACCCTAACTGTAGTGTATCATCTCTGCGACCCCGGGGAAAGCGCATGCTTCTGCAGCAGGTCAGCGTGCATGGCTCCTTGCCTGCAGCAGCGAAAAGGGTTTAGGGTTTAGGGTTGAACCAGATACCTTAAAGAGGATTATAGGGCCACATAAGGTTTACTAGGTGCCTTTAGAGGAGGCTATAGGGTTATAGGTTGAGTTGGGTGGGTTCTCTGGTGGTTGAACCAAGGATTTAGGGTTTGGGATTTAGGGACTATAGGATTTAGGGTTCAGGAGTTTCTGGTTAGGGTGTATGGATTAGGTTTTCGGATACGGCCCCCGCCCTGTAACAGTCTATGCTGCGGGGTAGTATCAAGGGCAATATTAAACTTTCGTACTAGTACCAATACTTATCCACCTGTTACTGAGTGGGGACAGAATCCAAAGTAGTATTCTATTCTTTGCTTCTGATAATAATACTTAACTCAACACCCTAAACCCTAAGCCCTATACCTAAACTCTCAACCCCGCAAAAAGGAAGGTGTAGCCTACTCCTTTATCGATGGGGACTCCATTGGGGTTTGTAAGGTTTAGGGCTTAGGGTTTAGGCTTTAGGGCTTAGGGTTTCGGATTAATATCCTCAACAAGAGTGCTACTCAGCTGAGTTTTGCCTCCAATCCAAACAA